GCAACAGCAGCAGCAGCAGCAGCAGCAACAGCAACAACAACAACAACTAAAACAACAACAACAACAACTACAGCAGCAACAACAGCAACAGCAACAGCAACAGCATCTACTTACTGTAGGAGTGCCGGGGAAAGAACAACGCATTGACAGATTTTTATCTAACAAAGAGCTCAGTGTGTACTCCGTCTTGGTACCGGTTCAGACACACAAACTAATTAAAATATATAACAAAACAACAAACAAAACCAAACAAAACAAACGAAACAAAAACAAAACAGAACACAATGCAAACAAACCCAATATCCCCAACAAAACTCAAGGAGAGATAAACTATTACAAAAATCTCGAGCCAAGTACGAGTATCATGTTATGAAGAAGTGCTAACTATGGGGTTTTAAAAGTTTTGTTTTTTCTTTTTAGTGTCTATGAGTTGGGGAATGGTTGCAGTACATGAAAACTTAGCTATCCACACTCATGAACGAACGCTGCAAACACTCTGAAATGGGAACACAACCAGTGAATATTCAAGCTAATAAATACCTTGTTTCGGCTCATAAGTCCCCCTTTTTGACTTCTTTAGGCTTCTTTATTCTGCTCATCAATGGGAAAAGGCTTTGAGCCTCTTGTAAAATGTTAAACACACACTATCAATAAAAGTCCAGAGAGAATCACTGATTTTTGTGTTTTATGTAACACTGGGATTTCTAAAAATAAATAAATAAATAAATAAATAAATAAAAAAAATATATAGCAATGCAAAACGAAAAACAGAAGTTAAAAATAGAAAACGAAATAAAATCACAGATTCAGCAAAGTTGTAGCTCTACAATACTCTACATGCACTTAACACAAAAGTGTTGGAATTTTTCGATACATTAGAGGGAGACAGCTGACTCATCAAATTATGGGTTTACCTGAGAACGGATGCAAATAGGTAACTTTTCTCTCTGAAGATTTATAAACATGCCCAATATATTGCTGGTTACATACATACATATCAGATGACGGTAGGTCTCTTTGCACTATACTTTTGTTACGTGTGGTGTGAGGGGGAAGAGAGTGGAGGGGAAGGGAGAGCTTTTCGCCTTAAAAAAACAACCCCCCCCCCCAAACAGAAACTCCAGACAAACGAAAGAAAGTTCCAGTTTAGATGTAGCTGTTTATTGACTGATCGTTGACTCTCCCGTTTAATTCAACATATTTCAATGCAAAATATTATCTGTATTTTTCAGACTTCAACAAAGGTTAAGGAACAGCTTGACAGACAACCCTAATTTCTTTTTTAATCCGAAAAAAGACAGCAAGGAATGTTTCAAAATTTTTTGCTCTGAAAGTGTTAATGTGTTACCAATGCGTACTGCAATGCTTCCTAAAGGGGCAAAACTAGCACGTGCTTCAAGGAAAGCTAAAATTTCTTGTGCACGTCATAAACAGACATACGGTTTCGAACTGTGCTCACTTTGGTGGCAATATAAGCCGCCGTTTGAGCAAAATCCAGTATCGCATCAACGAGCCGCCAAGACGAAATCTGAGAGACTTTGATCGTGCCAGAGCTATGGCATTGCTGCAAGATGGAGTTGGAGCCCGAGAAGTTGCCAGAACCCTTGCAGTGTCACACTCTCTCATCATCAGCCTGAGGCAGCGCCACCAAGCTACTGGATCAGTCCAAGAACGCCCGCGTGCAGGTCGACCCAAGAAGACCACTCAGAGTGTTTGCAACTGGTCCTTAACTTTTGTTGAAGTCTGTATTAATAGTTGTTTATATTTTTGCATCTATCTATCTATCTATCTATCTATCTATCTATCTATCTATCTATCTATCTATCTATCTATCTATCTATCTATCTATCTATCTATCTATCTATCGGGGGCTCTCATGGCCTAGAGGTTAAGGTTCTGGCCTCTCATTTAAAGGTCCCGGGTTCGAATCCGGGTAGCAACGTAAACATTTCTTCTTTAAAGTTGTCTCCTTTCACCTCCTTTCCTGCTCTCTAGCAATGCTCTCTCGTCTGCTTTCGTCTCCACTTTCCGCCCCCAACCCTCACCCCCTTTGACCCCTCCTCTGGGCTCCTGACTCTTTCTGCAGCCTTTCTACTGCTACTCCTTGGCTCCTTCTAACTGTTGTCTTTCAGCCACACCCCTGATCTTCTGGTAGGATAGATCTACACTTAGCCTTCCGTGAGCAAGTTGCGTACGCTAAAGATCCCCTGGTGGTCTAAAATCGATAAAAGTAGGCTTCGGCTGACACCCGGGCAAAATTCAAAATTGCCTACGAACTGCAAAAGTTTAGTGTGTCCCGCGTGCTCATATGACCTTACGCAGTTGCGAGCGCCGTAAAATACTTACAAAAATATGATAATAATAATGATAATAATCATAAAACAACAACAGCAACAACAACAACAACAACAACAACAACAACAACAACAACAACAACAATAATAATAATAATAATAATAATAATAATAATAATAATAATAATAATAATAATAATAGCAACTACATTTGTACAACGCATATCTACGCTCCACAGCATGCTCTTAGTGCTTTACAACGATTATTACCCCAGCAGACCATTAGAACACCCAGAAACGTTCTTGGCTTCCTGTGAAACAAACCATGAAAGCTGCATATTGCACGTGTTCAAACACTATCAGACTAACACAATCTTTCGTTGTCTTTTGCCTAATACCCATTCCGCCTGGGTAAATTGAGAAAAATTCCTTCAAAGTGCTTTTCCCGAGGACGCAACGTCGGGAACCTGGCGGCATTTGAACCCACGACCTTATGGTTGCGAGTCTGAGAGCCTAACCACTAGGCCACCGACGCCACTGAGTGATAGTGCTTTTGGGCCTCTTAATAAAAATATGCCAATTAATTTTGCACCGTATGCTTCACAGGCAATTGAGATTGTTTCAGAATGCTATCAGGTCTGTGTGAGTACTAATATAGATTGTAAAGCACACCCTAAAACGGTGTCCAGACAAGAGAAGGAGTTGTAAAAATGATGATGATGATGATGATGGTGATGATGATGATGATGATGATGATGATGATGATGATGATGATGATGATGATGATTTCTTCTGAAAACAATGCCTTTTGCTGCAATACACTCAACAAAGAGCATGGCAATGTTTTAGTTTTGTTATTTTGCTCGGAATGTTTCTTATTTGCTTGTTCTCCTTCTTATCAGATCTGTGATCGCAACAGAAGGCCAGCCAGGTTAAGGATCTTACGAGTGACCTGCAACCTCAGCGAAACGCTGAGCTGTCCATTCCTCAACAATGTCAGGTTCATGTGAACTCTTTGAGATTTATGTCAGCCCAAACGACCAGACAGCACACAGCACTCAATCTCACCTCCTACGTTTTAATAGATAATGTAAATGCTCCAAATAGCAGGATGGGGAAGATCCATAATCAGAACCATGAGAAAAAGACAACCTAGATTCTTTGGTCGCACAAATAGATCAAATGGATAAGAGAACCCGCTGCCTCTGTGTGGAAAGATTGAGAGAAAGAAAAGCAGAGGAAGACAAAGAACAGCATACATAGATGGCTTGGACAACTTTACAACGAATGCCACAAAGAGAAAAACCGAGCTGATCAAGAAGACAGACAGCAAGAAGGAATAGGGTACCATGATCGTCAATGTCTATTCCAGACCTGACACCACAAGAAAAAGAATGTAGGTGTATTTACGCCCCCGTCGACAATGTGGATCATTTAGGAGGCTGGCTTCCGACCCTATCTGTCAGAGCTAACAATGGCTGAGAGGGATACAGCAGAAAGACCGAGGTATTCGAAAACAATTTCTCTACACTCTGGAGTCGAACTCGTCTCCCATTTGCGACAGCGAAGCGCCTAACGGTTAAATCACAGACAGCAGATTTCTCTGCTTGAGATATTGTTGGATGAGTCGTTGATATGAACTGTACTGTTCGGCGAGGCCAGTCGTAACTCCATTGATGACGAACATTTTGGCCTCAAGACAACCATTTTTTGCAAGTGTTTTACAGCGCTCGCAACTGAATTAGGTCATATTAGTGTTCTTTAACGTGCGCAACATGCACACGATATTTGCAGGATTTTTTGCCCTTATCTGAGAAGGCTAAGGGTAAGATTATACTTGCATTAAAATAAGGGGTGTATCTGAACGACAGCAGTAAGAAGGAATCAAGGAGTGGCAGTAAGAAAACAGCAGAAAGAGTCCTCAGCCCAGTGGCGTGGGAAAAGAGCAAAAGGTGGAGGCGAAAGCATGCAACAGAGCATGGCTAGAGAGCGGGAAAGGAGATGAAAGAGACAATTAAGGAAAACAAAAATTAGAGAAACTTTTCTGTCTCTGTCAGATTTCGAACCCGGGACCCATTAAATGAGAAGCGAACACAGTACCCCTTGATCACGAATCGAGCTTTTTCTGCTTGGTTTGCCTTTGTTTACATTATCGTTGTTTCGTTTGGGGTTTATTTCGAGGAGGGAGACATACGGATAGCATAATTGTAATTAGTGTGTGTACGTGCGCGTATATTATATATATATATATATATATATATATATATATATATATATATATATATATGTGTGTGTGTGTGTGTGTGTGTGTGTGCGTGTGTGTGTGTGTGTGCGTGCGTGCGTGCTTGTGTGTGTGTATGTGTGTGTGTGTGTGTGTGTGTGTGTGTGTGTAATTGTAGAAGTGTCAGACACCCCATTCGGAGAATGGGCCTTTTACTTCTTCGGATCTACTTCGATATGGAAGATGGCTGTGATTGTGATCCAAGCCAGACAAGAACGTTTAGGGGCCACAAACCCTGCCTTGGTTCTACAATATTTTCCACATTTTAAAAATTGGAAGTCTGATTGCAATTCTTTCTTGCTTTATTCACTTCACTGAAGCCATGGGGCGTCTAAGTGCCGCATGTTCTTTTTTTTAAACCAGAAGCTACCTCAGAATTACAACATTCTCTCTGACATTTTGGCCGTTTTGAGTTACTAAGACATCGAGGTCAGAGAAACCAAAAGCTCGCTATCTGCTCTATCAAAATCGTAAGAATGCTCCTAGCTGTTATCAAGATATTATTCACAGAATTGCAATCGAAAAAGCTTGGCATGTTGTGAAAAACTAAGTACATTGCAGAGAGAATTTTGCAATTCTAGGGTAGCGTAGTAAGTACATCAAGATAAACGCAAGTCCATCGGTTGCTTTCTGTTAAAATTGAGGGTAAGGGGACTGAATAATACATAGGCCCACGACACACCAAATATTCTGTATTAAGAGCACACAATTTGATCAAATTCCTATCTGATGGGGTTTGATATATTAGAAGGCGACCTGATTTCTTCTTAATGGAAAGACAAAAGCCACCAATTTGGCAAACTTTAATCAAATCACCCCCAAAACTAAAAATGATTGATTTTCTAGTTCAAATCAAGTTCAATGATAAAAACAGATTGCAAGGAGAAATCTGTTTTCGCACGGAACGAAATAAATTGGCCTTAAAGGGCTTCTAGGTCACATTTGAAATAGGAAGGCAGAGGTAAATATAACACACACGAAATATGGATACAATAGGAATAACATTGGTCTTCCGGCATATTGAACAACGGAGAATCAAATGGTTTTGTCACCCCTCAAGAATGAGCCCAGAACAGCCTGTATTATTACTTTACTTACTTTTTCATCCTCTATTGCCGTTAAGCGTTGAGTGGAGAAGCAGTTTTCTATGGTAGGCCAGCTCCACAGCTCTTTCAGCTTTGATGTTATGTTTTCTTAGGGTTTCCTACCCTTATTATTATGGGCCCTAAATACCCTGACTGAAAAAACAGGGAGACCAAGAGGTCACTGATTTTTTTTACTCTAAAGGACACCCCCAGAGACCCTAACCGGACCCCCATCCAACAGCCGACAGACAATCTTTGTGTCTCTCCGTGACTTGATTACTTGATTATTTGATCCTGAGAACAACATCCTAGCACCCCGAGCATAGCCAGACGTGCTCCGCTCCAATATCCACCGCAGAGTCTATCTGCTGATTTTTCCGGTGCTCATTTGGTTAATAGCTCGTCTTCCCATCCCCTGTACCATGCTGGTTCTGCCACTTGCTCTGAAGACACCCAATTCTTCAAGTCCTAAGATTGGTGCTTAGTCATGCTCAATCTCCTCATCTTCTAATGTGGTGGCAAGGACCTTCACAAAATCGTTTGTGTCTATTTTAATGTCAGTAGTGACAGGTGCATGGCTCTCCACTTTGTCTGCCTATTCATTTCCCACCACACCCGAATGGTTTGGAGCAGAGATCCATTTTATTTTTCTCAGTTTGCTTTCTTCTATGCTTTGCATCCATTCTTTTCTCAGCATCCACATACTAGTACAAGGGGAAGGAAAAAAAAGGAAGAGAAAAAGAAAAAAAGTAACCCACAAGAACACCACAGCCGACACACACACACACACACACACACACACACACACACACACACACACACACATACACACACACACACACACACACACACACATATACACATACACATACACACACACATAAACACATTTATTATAATTAGTGTGGTGCATTGTCTCTGCCGACGGTTCTTTTCTACCTCATACTTTTTATAACCTTCTAACAGGGATAAAGGCGGTTCATTTGAAATGATGTATTTGTGTCTAGTAGGGTGTTCGTTTAATTTTAAATTACGAAATCCGATACAGAACAAAATTAACTAAAGTAAGGGAAATGTTATCCTGGAATTCTATTGAACATGTAAGAGCACATATACTAGGCTAATTATCAACCCCGTTGACTTTTCAATAACAAAAAACAACACTTACTCTCCAAATATTTTAACATGTTCATTTTATTTGGAGGCAGAATGTTGCCCAAACATGATTTATGAAAAAAATAATCTTTCAAATTAGCAGGCTGCAGGGATGTTGAAGATGGTTGCGTCTGGGATGCTCAGTGAGGGGTTAGCAAAGAGGGTCAGTCTTGTTCCGCTTACAGTGGCTAGAAGAAAAAAAAGAATGCCAATCAAACAATTTGTTAGTTTTACTTATAACATCATTGTTGCCATTAATGCCGTATACTCTAATCATAGTCACTGCAGCAGCAACAGAATTAGCAGTAGTAGTAGTAGTAGTAGTAGTAGTAGTAGTAGTAGTAGTAGTAGTAGTAGTAATGGCGGGTTTTTTAAGGGTTTTGGGGCTGGGTGATTCTGTGCGAAAAGGGGGGAAAGAGGCTTCAAGACGTTAAGGGTACGGCATAGTGTTAGTTGACTATTCATTATTAATCTGTGACGAACTAGCACCTTCAGGTGTGAAGTGAACCTAACAACAGTGCCATCAATGTTTATTTTCTTTAAATTTGCCATACTCTGTTTCTTGCCTTGCAAGCATATCTTTTAAATTTGAAAGCGCCAAGATTAGTAGGCTACTTTGAGCAGTAATGTTAATCATACAAAGCGGCAAGTAGCAGCCTGAAAGAAATTAACCAAGAATGTTTAAAAAATGTTCACCTCTGAAATGTAAGAGTGGAAAGCTGATGTATGAAGGAAAGCATTGAGATTTCTTTTCCAAAGTACCATGAATGCAAAATCTGCGTAATAGAAACCTTTCTGATCTACAGAAATGACGGTTTGTAATGCCAAAGAAATGAAACAAAAAAACCCAACAGTGTCATATGCTTTTAGAAACACCCTCGAAACATATTCATCGTACATATTCATTGTTTTTATGAAGAGTTTTTTCCCCCCCATTTTTCCCAGTTTGCTTTGGGTCATGATCTTTTGTCAAATATTGGTACGTTATGAGTGAAATGTGTTAATGCGGTAGTTCCTGTTACTGTTTGAGCGAAATTGTTCAGAATAACAACAAAAATGGATACTGTTTAGGAATAAATGGTAACAAAATCTTTTGATGATTTACATTAATGATGACTACGCTGATAACGACTACAACGACGACGACGTCGATGATGCTGCTGATGATGATGATGATGATGATGATGATGATGATGATGATGATGATGATGATGATGATTTTTTTTTTTTTTTTTTTT